ACATATATAGACAGTACAATCAAGACAGATATGGACAGTACAGTCAAGACATGTATGGACAGTACAGTCAGACATATATGGACAGTACAGTGAAGACATATATGGACAGTACAGTCAAGACAGATATGGACAGTACAGTCAAGACATATATGGACAATACAGTCATTGACATATATGGACAGTACAGTCAAGACATATATGGACAGTACAGTCAAGACAGATATGGACAGTACAGTCAAGACATATATGGACAGTACAGTCAAGACATATATGGACAGTACAGTCAAAACGTATATGGACAGTACAGTCAAAACGTATATGGACAGTACAGTCATTGACATATATGGACAGTACAGTCATTGACATATATGGACAGTACAGTCAAGACATATATGGACAGTACAGTCAAGACAGATATGAACAGTACAGTCAAGACATATATGTACAGTACAGTCAAGACATATATGGACAGTACAGTCAAAACGTATATGGACAGTACAGTCAAAACGTATATGGACAGTACAGTCATTGACATATATGGACAGTACAGTCGAGACATATATAGACAGTACAGTCAAGACATATATGGACAGTACAGTCAAAACGTATATGGACAGTACAGTCATTGACATATATGGACAGTACAGTCAAGACATTTTTTAAACAGGAGCGTAACTAGAACGTTAATTGGAAGGGGGTGTATTCATATATTCAGTTGTGCCCGACTGATTTCTTTTGATAATATATAGGCTTTCTAGTCCGTTGCCTATGGCCTCAAAACAGTTTTCTATAGTTTTCGACATGCTGAATTCGAATTTCTTTGTTCCCACTCAACAAAACCCGCAGTTTTTTAGAATTTTGACGATGAAGATCGTTGCCATTTTGTTGTCTAGGCGACTTTTTTACATGAAGTACTCCACATACCGCTGTTATTTTGAGCAGAGTCTATTACCGTTCATAAAATTTAACACCGCGATGGTGGCTACGAAACTTTATTTCTATGGACATTTTGATTACACAGGCAATGGACTATTCTAAAGAAATAAGTCGGTTACACCTGAATATATCATTACACACCCTCCCCTCCCCCCCCTCCCCAATTTTAGTTCTATTAACGCCTCTCATCTCAAAGTTTATTATTATTAACTGTACCGATATAGATAACTTTACTTTTAAAAATGCTTATGTCTACTATGACAACAAAGACTTTGAATTATATTTATTCAATTTGTCTTATAGCAACAACTTATAATTATTTCTGTTATCCCAAAGTGTCATTTTACACATATTTTATCCATCTTTTTTCTATGTTGATCATGAGGGTAAATGATTTTTTGATTGTACAAACAACAACATTATACTGCCATTGTTAACAGCGTCTGCTAATGCGTGGTTGCTGATTTTTCCTTCCTCTTAAGTGCTGTTTTGGGAGCAACGTAGTAGAGATGGTTCATTCGGAATGAACCATGTAGTGTAGAAATTAGAATCAGTAACGTAGCCAGCCTGTAGATTGACTCCCTCTGTGTAAAATCGGAAAGATTACCATTATTCATTTCTTTGTAGAAATTTATTGTTCCCACGGTAAGTGAACACAAAAATTGCGCGAGTAGAGTCCAGCTGGCTATGTTACTGATTGGAATAGATGAGCTTTATGTCAATGGGGCTCAACCTCCCTTATCAAAGTAAGCTACGCTACTGCGTTCGTGTGTTTGTTCAATGTGCCGTAACGTGGCCTATATTTCACAAAGAGTGATATTGTTTCCAAACTACATTTAACATGCAAGAGTCAAGTCTGACCTTGCGATTCCGTTACTGAGAAATTCAAGTGAAAACAATGTCTCTATGTTCAATAGGCATGACATCTTAATAATGGAAAAACGACATTCATTAAATTAAACGACAGTATTGTGAATCGTCAACAGTCAGTGTTTGATATAAGTACTAAATGTAACGGCTATGACCAGTAAGACTTCTGTGTCATTTCTGTTCTATTCCGTTGTTGTCCAGTTAACTACATTACGCTGATTACTTTGCTGACGTGATTGACTGGCTGTCATCATGCTGGTCACATGACTATACTTCACACGAAACTGACGAAAGATTTCGAAACAAGAGTGACTCTACTACTTGCTTCCCAAAACAATATAAGTAATTACGACGTTTTAGAACTCATCTAGATTTTTTATAAACATTATAGGAAATCGCTTATCTTAGTCTCACTCAAACCCGTATAATTAAGACACGCAATTCATATTTATGTTACGTAAGTACACAACAGTACTCACAAATTGTGCAAATACCTTGTCGCTAATAAATGAATATAATTCCACAACATGTTATGACATTCCCATAAATTACCACAAACTCGAAGTGGGAGACTTGGAGCTAATTTAGGAGAAATATTATACAAGACTAAAAGCCATCATCAGAAAATCATATTATAAGAACTCGAGAATTTGTATTCATTTTCGCGTTTGTTGATGAATGTGGCATGCGTATGCGAATTGAAGTTTAAAATGAATCTTTCAAGATTATTTGCACGCGTGTATTGATCGACCGTGGGTCATTTGTACTATAAAGAAATGAGAGTGTTCTTTGGATGGGATCATGGGATTGAGAAATTCTTTGTTACTTTCTATTAACATCAAGTAGGGACATACTCAAATTGTTGTTTAACACTCAAAGTGAAAAATGCAAAAATTTGACCGTGTATGTCACTGAATTACTCCTATTGTAAAATTATAGAATTCCGGTGTAAGTTTGAGTAAGATACAATATGTAGCGATGAACGAATAATTTACGACGCTCTATGAATGAGCTGTTCTTTATTTGAAATTAAAATATCAGTACATCTAGAAACAACATTTATGCTTCAGAAATAGAGGTAAAACACCAAGGCAAACATTGTAGCATCAATTACAGCAAGGAAAAAAATACGCGAACATTCCGCAGAGACGTAGAGATTTTGGGCACTGGAAAAAACTTTTTCCAGTACGGCCATTCTTGCATGTACAGATCCTAAATGTGATGAAATTTATAAAGCAAATCAATATAAACACTTATTGAGGTATTAGTATTTGTTTGCAGTTTAGCAAAAGTCAGATAATGAATAGACTTTGCTGTGTTTGCAATCTTGCATAAGATTTAAGTATTTAATTATAGTAGTAAAATAATAAAAAGTAAGACTATTTAAAATTGCCTTGCAACAACTAACAACAATGTGTAAAGCCGCGAAATAAAGATAAAGACTATGTACATAAATAGAGACATCTGAGACTGGGAGAAGGGTGAGACAAGCAAATAATGTGCTCAGCAGTCTGCAGTTACGGTGCATGCGCACATAATCAAAAGGGATAACTCAGACTGGGGGACTGTTCAGACCGTGACACCGGGACTGACTAACTTTCCTTTGCTTCCTTAGTTTATTTTATAAAATAAACACAATGAAACGCGTGCGCTGATTGGTCTAGAGCTGTGTTTGCATTAGCCAGTGCAAAACGATCTGAGCTCAACCAATCAAATCAATTAATCAATCAAAGAAAATTTGCAAATCAATCATGAATACACGTTGTGAGAATATTAAAACGTTTTGTTCGTTTCACATTATTGTTATTTTATAAAAGAGATAGATGACTGGCTGTCGCTATGGTAATCACATGCGCAATGGGATATGCGGGGCACAAAAAAATTCATTTGAGTGGCTCTAATGTATGTTCTCTATACTGTGGATTAGACATTGTAAACCGGGTAACAATTGCACATATAATGAGGACAGCAAGTAAGGGAAGCCACACAGGAACCATTAAACGACAAACTGAGAGAAAAAACGTTTAAACAAATTTCAACGAAAGCCCACCAAGACTTCTTTTGAGGTAAGCTATATATTAATTGATCTCATTGAGTTGAAGATATTTTTGACTGTATTTCATTTCCTTATCAGCACTTTGTTACGGAACTTGTAATATTCGTAACAATGTTAGAGATGCTTTTCATTTTCTTTTGTTTAATTTCTCAGGTAAAGATTTCACGAGACAACAGAAAATGCCGACCGCAAGTACGTGTTGAACAGGCCAGCGGTTGCTAGCAATGAGAGTAATGGCCAGGCCCAGCCGTTGTTTAATATGGAGATTGTTACGAAGGAAAAACTTTGAAAAATACAAAAGAAGATACGAATCACATATGATTACGAAAATCACGTGGATGTACTATAATTAACCTTGGTTCACACTAGTCGTATAAATCGGCGACGTATTTACATCGATAGATACGATTTGTCAGGTATGTATAACACCGAAACGCTCACACTTGCGTATTACGCACAGTAAAAAACCTTTAAACATGGCTTCTGTAAATAGACTTTTCGTGTTGCATGGACAAGTTCTTTTGCTATTAGCTTTTTTTCGTAAGAAGGGATGCGATTTTTATCTATGCATTGATCTTTATGTTCTTGTCTTTGAACTGAGCATTGCTAGAGTTGTAGATACTCGGAAACTCTTTTTTAATCTCCTTAAAAGAGCAACCATTGCCGTTTTGAGACTTGGTAGCAACTACCAAGGTAGAGGCATGCAAGTCCACTCCTTGGTCATCCGCCATTTTGAAAAGTCGCGAGTGTCGGTTTCTAGATTTCATGTTCACACATGACGTAATTTATCGTACGAATCCCCGATTGGGGCGCAGTTTAAACTGGAACATCGTAATCAAATAGAATCAATCCATTCTTATTTTCCCGATATTTATGAATCTGACGCAGATTATATGGGATCTCGTATTTGCCATGTTCATAAATTCATTACTAGGATGGTCGCATATGATGATACAATACGGTTTTCGCGACTCTTAAGTCTAGTGTGAAGCAGGCTTTACTATAAATCTACGGTAATTACTATATGTTTACGGTAATTACCATTCAGGTCAGTGGTTGTAAAATATAATTAATTTGAGGAGATTTCTCCAAATTCCCATCATTTTTCCCATCCAGGTAATTTATACAGGTCAGTAGTGGAAACACAATGTAAATAAATGGCGAGTTTTTTGAATATTAGTTCGTAGAAGAAGAGGTTTAATATTTATCGAAGTCGTTCAAGCATCGGATTGGCGATGTTAGGTGTAAGATATTTCCAGTTGACATTAGCAATTTTAAAACCAGACTTGATCTCGCATCCTGTTCATCTGAAGGTTCGTAGAAACCTCACATAATTTGCCTTGTCCCGACTTGTCCATGTAAGGACCATGTCCCTTTATTAGATTTTTGTTTTGTGTTTGTTGTGTTGTAGTTGTATGCTGTTCTTTTCAGCTTGTTATGGAAAAAATACTGAAAGAAAATTTCTTCATTGTGCATTGGAAACTAGTGCAATGGAGTAGAGAAGATGCCGAACGATTCTATCAAGAACACAGAGGTCGAATAAAGAATTTATATGTATATATAAAATATAAATAGTTCACTGTTCATTTTAAAATTTCTCACTCGTGTCAGTTTTAGTTTAAATAATTTGTAAAAAGCCTTTCTTTTTCTTTTTAGACAAGTTTTTCTTTCAACGTTTGACATCGTACATGAGCAGGTTAGCCCAAGGCCTAAATATGTTTATATTTGTGACAGTTAAACATTTGAGACATATAATGAGCAATTTTACGGACATGTTTTTGACATTCACACTGTAACTCTGTTGTTATTCTGGGCTCAAAGGATAGAATACTAACTGTGTATGAAACATATATGCTCTAGTCATGAAAGTATGGTTTTTGTACACCCGAGATCTTGTCATACTTTTCAGATTGGCATATGCTGTTATAATTTTTCCCCATCTTTGTCTGAAACACAAAGGCAAAGATCTATGTCATGTGTGTGATCTAAAAAAATGGAGGTTTCTATGTTGTTTTAACTTCCACATGTTTAAAACTCTGTGAAGATTGGTCATGGCAAAGTAATCAAAAATACATGAAATACAACATCCAATTATGCCATAATATGTACTAGAACAAAAAACTGCTCATTAATTTTTGATTTTGTCTGTGTGGGTGAAGAAGACCAGGGGGGAGCTTCAATTAACAAGAGCTACCATCAGGGGGTAGCATGAAACTAGGACAAGGTTACCTATCATTTGTTCAGTTCCTTCTTTGTAGGAGATATATTTTTAAATTACGATAAATCTCCATTCTATTTTCTATCCTCACAGTGATTTGATAATGCCAATGGTAATGGCTAGAGTTGATGCTATTCAACATTGGAGAAAATTGATGGGACCAACGAAAGCGACAATGTACGTATGAAACAACATTTGATTCCATTTTCACTCTCCTTCTTTGGCACACAATAGCAATACACTTTATTCATTTTATTCACAGCACAAAAACGTAAAATTTGATTTAGTTTTGTTAATTATTTAAGATGTTTACTGTGTTTGCACAGGCTTATGCAAACCGAGCAGACCTTTGGTAGAACTTGAGAGCAGATCAGTGCAAGCCCGAGACCAAAGGTTGAGGGTTGCACAAGCTCGAGAGTTCTCACAAACCTCTCCAAGGTTTGCATAAGCCTGTGCAAACATGAAAAACATCTTTAATTTCTTTTATAAAATAACAATAATGCAAAACAGATAAATTTATAGTAAATGTTTTAATTTATCCTTTTAAATGTATTCATGATTGATTTGCAAATTCTCTTTGACTGATTGATTGTTATGATTGATTTGATTGGTTGAGCTCAGATGTGCTTTGCACAGGCTAATGCAAACATGGCTCTAGACCAATCACTGCACATGTTTCATTGTGTTTATTTTATAAAGATACTCGAATTTTGTCTGTAGGGCAAAGTTCTCTCATCCTGACAGCATTCGTGGATTATTTGGTATCACAGATACAAGAAATGCCACTCATGGTGCAGGTAGTTGCTATTTTTATATTGAATAATGCTTGTTTGTGGTTGTAGATTGTCTAGCTTAGTGGAGACCTCGGAGAAAGACTGTTGGTGTTGATGTTGACTGGCATTTTGACATCCTTAGCAGTAATCATCTTCAAAGTCCGTCAACTCAGGACTCCACTCAGTGGGGTGGTGAAACTTCAAAAGAACAACAAATGGACAGCATTTAAGGGGCCTGGGGTTAAAACCATAAGAAAATTGCTATACTTACTGTGCAACTCTTCATCAGAAATTGCTTTAATGAACTGTTGTGTATTTAATATTTTTTATTACTTTTATTCAATGTGTATGGAAAAAAATTCAAAATGGACAAATTATTTATGATGAAGTATCAAAAACACACAAAGTTCTCGAGTGACTTGATGTTTAATGTAAAAGATTATTTTGTGATGGTATTGATGATTTTATGGACAAATGTGGATATTTTATCAGTAAATGGATGACAGAAAAGCTCAAAGTAAACTCAGACTTAGGTACGTAAGCATTTTATTAATATAAGAAGATTGTCTAATGGGGGGGGGGATTATGTATTTTTACTATGGGTGAGGATAACGTATTTTTACTATGGGTGAGGTCATCAGTGTGCCAAAAGGCTTTCTTCAGCTATTGCATAAGATTGTTTTACCGGGGGGGGGTATATGTTTTTCTATGGTTGAGGTCATCAATTGCTGGAAGGCTTTCTTCAGCTGTTGTACATCATTATCAATAATGAGCACTTAAATGAAGATATGATCTTCGCACTTTGCTGGACAATATTGCGAACATTTGCGAAGATCATATCTTCATTTAATTTCAAACACCGCACTGCATAAAACATTCATAATAATGAGTACGTTATTGTGCATGTTTGTAGATCTAAGTGGATATTCAAGGATAGTGCCGTCCTCCGAAGGATTCTTGCTGTTGGTGTTGATCGACATCATTAGCAATGGTCATCTTCAGAGTCAAATAATAAGTAAATGTCAGTTACATTGTATTTGTTGCCTGGTTCATACATCACAAGTGTGAAGATGACTAATGCTATGAATGTGAGTCCATCAACGCTACGTAAAACCGCCAGTCCTTCCCAGGACTTTACTAAACTGCGCGATCTACATCTACAAACATGACTAATGCTATGAATGTGAGTCCATCAACGCTACGTAAAACCGCCAGTCCTTCCCAGGACTTTACTAAACTGCGCGATCTACATCTACAAACATGACTAATGCTATGAATGTGAGTCCATCAACGCTACGTAAAACCGCCAGTCCTTCCCAGGACTTTACTAAACTGCGCGATCTACATCTACAAACATGACTAATGCTATGAATGTGAGTCCATCAACGCTACGTAAAACCGCCAGTCCTTCCCAGGACTTAACTAAACTGCGCGATCTACATCTACAAACATGACTAATGCTATGAATGTGAGTTCATCAACACTACGTAAAACCGCCAGTCCTTCCCAGGGCTTTACTAAACTGCGCGATCTACATCTACAAACATGACTAATGCTATGAATGGGAGTTCATCAACACTACGTAAAACCGCCAGTCCTTCCCAGGACTTTACTAAACTGGGCGATCTACATCTACAAACATGTAATGATACTCTGACTTTAAACCATTTACTGTAGTAGCTACATTATCTTTCAAAGAATTCATTTCTATTTCTCCTAAAACAATACAAGTTATTTCGACCACGCTAAAGTGGGAGACAATGGAGGACAGTGGATGGTTGCTAATTACGTACGAAGCCTGAAGACTAAGACAAAGTTTGTGTCTTTAAGTGTATATATATTCTTCCCAGTAAGTTTACTGTAGGATGAAATAAGTTCACTGTAGGATGAAATAAGTTCACTGTAGGATGAAATAAGTTCACTGTAGGATGAAATAAGTTCACTGTAGGATGAAATAAGTTCACTGTAGGATGAAATAAGTTCACTGTAGGATGAAATAAGTTCACTGTAGGATAAAATAAGTTCACTGTAGGATGAAATAAGTTTACTGTAGGATGAAATAAGTTCACTGTAGGATGAAATAAGTTCACTGTATGATGAAATAAGTTCACTGTAGGATAAAATAAGTTCACTGTAGGATGAAATAAGCTCACTGTAGGATGAAATAAGTTCACTGTAGGATGAAATAAGTTCACTGTAGGATGAAATACACTAGGTGCCAAAAAAATGAGTCCACTAAATATCAAATGCATATTTTTAGTTTTGAACCATATCACCACTCTGTCACAACAATGTTAGGTTTTAAGTTCTCGAAAAAGCAATGTCAGTACATGGTATGTCCTCCCTTAGCTTTCAAAATGGCTTCAACTCTTTTTGGCATAGATTTAACAAGATTTTGAAGTGTAGATGGTTCAATATTATGCCAACATGTAGAGATTACATCCCATAGCCTGTCCTGGCTTGTTACGTCTTGTTTCACTTTTTATCTTTTTAACTCATCCCATAAGTGTTCAATTGGATTAACATCGGGCGATTGAGGCGGAAATGCCATGAGCTTCAATTCACCTTGATTTTCTTTGTTCCTTAAATAATTTGTGCACAAGTTGGAGCTGTGTTTCGGATCGTTATCCTGAAGTAAGGTAAATCCTCTTTCGCATAACCTTTTGCCAGATGGTACAGCATGCCTTTGGAGAATAGAATGGTATTGCTTTTTGTCAAGATTGCCTTTTATTCTGTAAAGACTCCCAACACCATTAAAGCTGAAACAGCCCCAGACTGGAATGTTTCCACCCCCATGCTTCACGGTGGACTTGAGGCACTGACTTGACAATCTTTCACCACATCTTCGTCTCACATAAACACGGCGATTATTTCCATGTATTTCAAACTTCGATTTATCAGTAAAAAGTACTTTTCTCCAATTGTCTACGCTGTAATGCTTGTATTTTTTGGCCCATAAGAATCTCTTCCACTTATTTATCGGGCGAAGCAACGGCTTGGAAGCTGCAACTCTTCCATTCAGACCACTTGCAGCCAATCTCCTTCTTACTGTTGTTTTGTTGATTGCACTCTCCGGTGGCGTTAATTGACGATTGAATGTTGCTAGCAGTTGCTCGTCTGTTGCACAAAGATCTTAGCTTTATGAACTGATCTTTTTTTTTATTTGTTATACGTGGTCTCCCAGGTTTTGGTAAGCTGGAATAACATTGCGTCTTTTTAAATCTTTCCACGGTTCGCTGCACAGCTCCTTTGGACACTCCCAGCTTTGCAGCAACATTTCGTTGTGAGTAACCTTTGTTAGTGAGAGCAACAATTTGTCCTCTAACTCTTTCACTTAAATCTTTAGCCATTTCCCAATGTACTGCCAATGCGCTTAGATATTGTGAAATATCTTACAAACACTTGTGGGGAGACAATTTCAGGTCTCACTGCGCATTTTCAAGTGGCTACTGTAACTATATATTTCAAAAGACACATTTTTTCCCACCATTTTTCCTATATTGGAACTGGACTCATTTTTTTGGCACCTAGTGTAAGTTTACTGTAGGATGAAATAAGTTCACTGTAGGATGAAATAAGTTTACTGTAGGATGAAATAAGTTCACTGTAGGATGAAATAAGTTCACTGTAGGGTGAAATAAGTTCAACCAACTCTTCCCCCCCCCTCCTCCCTCTTCCTCTCCTCGTCTTTCTATTGTCCGTAACTTAAAACTTCATACGTACAAACTCGTCGAGGTTTTATAACGTTTGATGGTTTGATTCAATAATGGTCTACAATGTACAGGCTCTTATTTCACATACAACTATCATTTTTTGTTGTTGATATATTTTCAAGTTTAGTCTTTCTAACATTAACATTAAGTTTAAAAAAAGAAGTCCGTGTTTTCGCGCGGTCTTTAGTAGGACGACGATGTATGAAGAGAAGAATGTTTTGCCCAGGCATGTCGCTGCAGTGAACGAACTTTTCTTGCTGTTTCGGTTTTACGTATTTGCGAAATATCGCTGTCTTCTTCCTTCGGGGAAAGATCAAAAGAAACCACGTTTATTTTGAATGACAAATTCGTTTATCTTTAACGGCTTTCTTCGTCACTTAGAATACTACATATGATTAAATTTCAACTTTGTCTCCAATGTTCTACCAACTAAACTACGAGATCAACTGTAAACTATGATGATATTTTAAAACACAGTTCTAGTTTCTTTCATATCTTAATATCATAGATAATAACATCACGTTGTTGTGATGTACACAGGTATAGTAACAAGATAATCATTGTCTTCAATGCTCTACCAACTAAACTACAAGATCAACTGTGAATTATGATATTTCAGTGAAATTCGCCCTCACAAGTACAAAGTTCTACCTATATGTACCCATTATGTACATTATGTACCTCGACTGGGGTCATTTCACAACCGTCTGGTAAATCATTATTGTTCCCTTCCTGCGGTCCGACTCTGTTTCTTTTCCTTTCGCTTTGTGTGGATCCAAATTTCCTGATGAAGTAACATGACCCAGCCATAAGCGTGATCTGAAATGTTTAATGAGAATAATTTTTTTCTCTACTTTCTTTTAAACTGTTTAACTTTCTGACAACCTTAATAAACTTTTCATTCTGACAACTTCAATCAACTCCTGCTATTGACGCCCTCGATAGTCACTTCATTTGGACAACTTGTATAAAGGCTTCATGGTGACAACATCAATCAACTCCGGCTATTGACAATCTCAATTAACTATTCCTTCTGACAACGTCAATAAACTCTATATTTTGACAACATCAATCAACTCTTCATGCCGACAACATCAATCAACTCCTGCTATTGACAACCTCAATAAACTCCTGCCATTGACAACCTCAATCAACTCCTGCTATTGACAATCTCAATCAACTCCTGCTATTAACAACCTCAATCAACTATTTCTTCTGACAGCATCAATAAACTCTTCCATTTTGACAACATCAATCAACTCTTCATGCTGAAAATCTCAATCTTTTATTCCTTCTGAGAAACTCAATAAACTCTTCATTATGACAATCTCCAGTGGCTTTCACTCTCTCTATTCATCGTCCAAAACTTACCAATGATCCCATGACAGCACCTGCAGCCGAAGCAATAATAATCTGATTATCTTCAAACCACCTGACAAGTTTAGTTAGACAGTCCTGTCGTTCAGAGTATTACATTACAAATGTAAAGCAGCTTGGCTACTCAACTGAAAAGCTAGTGGAGTCACTCTTGTTTAGAAATCTTTCATCAGTTTCGTGTGAAGTATAGTCATGTGACTAGCATGATGACAGCCAGTCAATCACGTCAGCAAAGTAATCAGCGTAATGTAGTTAACTGGACAACAACGGAATAGAACAGAAAGGACACAGAAGTCTTACTGGTCATAGCCGTTACATTTACTACTTATATCAAACACTGACTGTTGACGATTCACAGTACTGTCGTTTAATTTAATGAATGTCGTTTTCCATTATTAAGATGTCATGCCTATTGAAAATAGAAACATTGTTTTCACTTGAATTTATCAGTGACGGAATCAGACTTAACTCTTGCATGTTAAATGTAGTTTGGAAACAGTATCAGTTTTTGTGAAATATTGGTCACGTTACGGCACATTGAACAAACACGCGAACGCAGTAGCGTAGCTAACTTTGATAAGGGAGGTTGAAGGTTATTCAGGTCGCCGCTTACACGCAAAAAATTATCGTTTAGATCTACAAGCTGTAATAAGTTTAATACATTTAAATAATTTAGTATTTATATTAGAGGGTTTGGTTTTCACAGGTTCAGATTTCTTACTTTTACTGCTTATACTTTTATGTTTTCACCCCATTGACATAAATCTCATCTATTCGAGTTTTTATACCATATAGATCTAAATTGGAACACATGTTGTGGTAAGCTAACACTTGTTTCCAAAGTCTGTCATGCAATTCCATTTATCACGTGTTTGCCATGGATTAGACATTGTAAACCACGTGACAAGTGCAGATATAATGAACACAGCAAGTAAAGGAAGCCAGACACATACTATTAAACGACAAACAAAGATCGAGAAGAAACGTTCAAACAAATTTCAACGAAAGCGTACCAAGCCTTTTTGAGGTAAGCTATATATTGGTTGATCTCATTGATTTTTACAATTGACTGTATTTCATTTCTTATTTCAAAGGTACGACAATGAAGATTCTGACAGCTGCGTTATTTCTTGTGTTTTTGTTTGTCGCCATAGATGCTCGACATTATATTTTACACAACGAGGCTAGCTTTGAAGGAGAAGGCGAACAAATAAGTAAGGATGCAAGTCATAAAATAATGTCAAAACACTTTTTGGTGCTTTTACATCACATTTGTAAGAACACTCAGAACACTTGCGATTTTTATCCTGCTCAAATCTTATGCACGATTGAAAACACAGCAAAGTCTATTCATTATCTGAATTTTTTTAAACTGCAAACAAATAGTAATATCTCAATAAGTGTTTCTATTAATTTGTTTTATGAATTTCATCACATTTAGGATTTTGTAGATGCAAGAATGGCCGTACTGGAACTTGTTTTTCCAAGTGCCCGATTTATCTACGTCCCTGCGGAAGTTGCGGGTTTGATGTTTGCTGTAATTGATGCTCTTGTGTGCTGCAGTGTTTGCCTTGGTGTTTTACCTCTATTGCTGAAACATATATGTAGTTTCTAGATGTACTGATATTTTAATTTCAAATAAATAACAGCTCATTCATAGAGTGTCGTAAATTATTCGTTCATCGCTACATATTGTATCTTACTCAAACTTACACGGGAATTCTATAATTTTACAATAGGAGTAATTCAGTGACATACATTGTCAAATTTTTGCATTTTTCACTTTGAGTGTTAAAGGACATTGGCAACGAAAATTTTTATGGCATATTTTTGAGCCTTTGTGATGTCTAACAACTAAAATAGAAAAATTTTTTCTCAAAAATATTTTGTTGCTGAGATACTTGCAGCAAAAGTTTTATAAATTGCGCCATCTTGAATAAAATTTTGATAAAATTATCTCGAGGGTAGTGACGTCATTGGCTGGTGAGCAGTCAAAACAACAATACAATATACTTTGTGATTGACTGCGTTACAACACATTTAAAGCGTATTTTACGGGGTTTTTTTGCTGTAATGGATGACATACACGAAAATCATTCCGTGCTTTTGGTTCTTTTGTGAGTGATATGCAAGAAAATGATACCATAAAAGGCACCGATCGCATGAGATACTTTTCTTGTGCCTCGGTTATAGCTTTCTCACAGATAATACCTCAATAAGTGTTTATATTGATTTGCTTTATAAATTTCATCACATTTAGGATTATGTAGATGCAAGAATGGCCGTACTGGAAAAAGTTTTTTCCAGTGCCCAAATTATCTACGTCTCTGCGGAATGTTCGCGTATTTTTTCCTTGCTGTAATTGATGCTACAATGTTTGCCTTGGTGTTTTACCTCTCTTGCTGAAGAATAAATGTAGTTTCTAGATGTACTGATATTTTAATTTCAAATAAAGAACAGCTCATTCATAGAGTGTCGTAAATTATTCGTTCATCTATGGCGTTCCGTTGCGGACAAAATTATATGTCAGTATTGTCTAAAATTGACTATTGAAATTTTAAAATCGTATATTGAAACTTCAAAATAGTATATCGAAATTTTAAAATCGTATATCGAAATTTTAAAATCGTATATTGAAATTTTAAAATCGTATATCGAAATTTTAAAATCGTATATCGAAATTTTAAAATCGTATATTGAAAGGAAACGGAAATTTTAAAATCGTATATTGAAAGGAAACGGAAGTGTTCGACAAACGGAAGAGTATAATTCCGTGTACAGTGAATCCGTAAACGAAAAAATGGCGTCTCGTTGGCTTCCAAACATCGAAGAATTCTTCGAAGCACTTTTGAGGCTAATCGAAACAGCTGAATTGCTAGCAACTGCAGCTGATAGTTGTTCTTACGACGCAGCTGAGTTCCACTTCAGAAGACTAGATGCATACGAAAGAACACTGTCTACGCTGCGCTCTCGTGTGGCCGAAAGTTTGAATTGGGAAATGTCAGAAAACACAACGACAACAGAAAATGTTCCTGCGGTTATTGCTCATCTGTGCTATATTTGTCATAGGACGAGTTTCCTCAGACAACGCTTTGAAGACATATTTTACAGGAGCATCCATAGTGAACGCGAAGCAATTAATGATAATCAATCTTTGGGAAGAAGTGAGCAGGTTGGTCCAGGGAGACCAAGGTTTGCGATGACCCGAGAGCAACTAGAAGCTTTGAATAACTGCAGTAGTGGATTTAGATGGAGTGAAATATCAAGAGCTTTTGGCGTGTCTGAAAGGACGCTGCGTCGCCGACGTCACGAGCTTGGTATGACAGTGGAAGGACGACAATTTTCAGATTTGTCGGACACGCAGCTAGACACAATTGTTCGCGCTATTATCTTTATGACTCCAAATATTGGATATAGAATGTTACAGGGAGCGTTGCGGCACCGCGGACTTCATGTTCAAAGAGAACGCATTTTACGTTCTATGCATCGGGTGGACCCTGTGATTTCTACATTGAGGAATACTACAAGGATCATAAGACGGTCTTATAATGTTCCATGCCCCAACGCCTTATGGTAATATATGACACATAGTGACATTGTTGTTTGTTGTATTTCATCTAATTAAGGAGTAATTGTAGGAAAACGGCAAAACATTTTCATTGAATATATTTTATTTTCAAATCTACATTTGCTATTTACAGGCATATTGATGGAAATCATAAATTGATTGAGCCATATCGCATAGTTGTCCATGGGGGCATAGATGGCTACTCAAGGCTGGTAACCTATCTCCATGCATCAACTAATAACAGGGCAGAAACAGTATTGAGCTTGTTTGAATATGCTGTTCAGTGCTATAATTTACCGTCAAGAGTCCGTTGTGATCTTGGATTGGAAAATATTGAAGTTGGGAGATATATGCTAAATGAAAGAGGTCTAAACCGGGGGAGTATCATCACAGGCACATCCGTACATAATCAAAGGATTGAACGACTGTGGAGAGATGTTAATCGTATTGTGATATCAAAGTTCTTAAACATTTTCTTGTTTTGGAAAATAGAGGTGTTTTAATCCAGTCAATGAGGTTCATTTATTTTGTCTTCAATTGGTCTATATTGACTTTATTAATATCGCTCTACAAGAGTTTGTGGCTCAATGGAACAACCATCCAGTCACAACAGAAAGCAACCATTCACCACAACAAATATGGGTTAGGGAATGGTAGAGTTGAGACATTCTGGTTACAGTGCTGTGAATGATGTTATTAGAAACAATGCATTTTCTTCCTATGGTATTTCTGAGGATGGGCCTGTGGCAGAAGAAAATCCTTCTCATGTTGTCGTTGTCCCACAAACCCAACTTAGATTAAACAATGAACAAATGGACTCGATCCTTACTGTGATAAGACAGGGACAAACTGAAGATGATCCACATAGAATCGAATCTTATTTAGCTGCTGTTGAACATGTTTCCTTGCTGCTCAATGGACAGTGACTTCGAACTTGATGATATGCATCATTTTCACCTTCATATAAATATTGTAACAATAACTAACATCGCTCATAGCAGTCTAACTACACCAGTTCCAAACCAAGTGAGCCATACTTCAGTGCAACATCCATAAATTTTTTGAAGTCTTCATATGACTTGTGTTTAGATGGCAGTGTAATAGTAGAGAAGCATGTCTCAGCATGCGGCAGTTCACTTGAATCATCAAATTTGACCAATAATGATCCCCTTGCAGGTAAGGTATTTGTTGCACAACAAAAGCAACATAAGTCTGTTAATGATGGTTGACCTAAAAGTAAAACAATACAGTGTGAAATGTAACCTTAGACAGCAACTTTGTACCATTGATAAAAGAACCACAAAAATTCAAATGTCTTTAATTAAAATGACAAGAAATACTGTAGCATTATTCAGTACTGACATGGGGTATCAGGTGCCTGTGAATAAATGTGATTTTAATCACACAAGTGTTGCCCTTGTCTTCTACACTCGAGTAATGTGGGGCAAAAAAAAGATAAGTGTAATAGAAAACTCTTGGGTAGAACTTGTAAAATAGTTTGTGTTTGGTATGATTGAAAGCAAAGTAGTGATTAATAGTACCTTCTTCATATTTTGCCAGGAAATATAAATACTCTGTGAAAAAGGCAAATGTTCTTTCATTTTCTTTCTCTTCTTCAAAGATAAGTACTTCTTTGATCTCATCAAAGGATAATCTTCTTTTTTCAATGGGCGGAAAGACAATTTCTAACATGTTGGTGGGTAAGTGACCAATAAAGGAATGCAAACCAGCATCCTCCATACCTGTAGCAACAAACAACAGAAAAATCAATATCCAAAATAGTTTGCATGACTGGATGAAATCTAGGTCTCAAGCTAATTTTCCTTCCCGAAATGCAATGCATCCAAAAGAAAGAACAAGGTAGCATCTCTCCAGCATTTATTTCACACTTTGACATCAAATAGAGCAAAACATTCAACAGTGCTCTCATGGAAAATATTGGCATAGTTAATGCAGCCGATTTCAATTGTGACTGAATCACATGATAAGCATTGTATCAAAAATAGTAAAAAATATAGGCCAAACCTTTAGCAATGTCATCAAGTTCTCTGCGTCTCTTATCAATGACTTGATAAAACATCAGGTCTTGAATGGCAAGCTGTGTGTTTCCTGATAATATGTCCATGTCAACTCCAGACTCAAAAAGATATGGGCAAAGCTTGTTTAACATCTCAGGTGATGGGGTATGACAATTTTCTAGCTGGAAAAACAGATACCAAATATGCAAAAAGTCTTATATAAGTCATTGTTGATCCAATTAAACCCATAATCCAAGTAAAACAAATAGGTGATCATGTTTACAGGTACATACCTCAGTTATCATTTCACGTAATTCAAGATCGGCAATATCTTCTGGAACAATCGGGAGTGCATGTGTAGCAATATCTTTGTCTTTAATTTGTGGTGATCCTGTTACATGCCAGTAATGCAAAATTGCTGGTGAAAAGCCATAAGGAAGAGGACCTCCGTGAAGTACAGAGTGACCTATGATACGCCCAATTGCCTTAAAAACACCCGTGCATCTGAATGCTTGATCATGTATAGGCAGTAAATGATTGTCTTCACCATAAAAAAAGACCAGTGGCTTTTTGTTTTTGGAAAGCCCTTCTTCAACAATTTTCATGGCACATAAAAGAAATTCTCGAATAGGGCCATTGCCTACACCATCTTCCCCTTCAAATCTCACACGCAACGGTGCCTTCAAGTTGCATTCTGGTTGTTTGTAACAACTCAAGATGTCCCGTTTGAGGTCGTCCATACCATCCTCTCTAGAAACATTGAACTTCTGTTTTGGCAGGTTGTAATCTAAGTTTTCTGCTTGATAGCTTTCAAGACTTAAATTTGATGACTTCCTTGTTTCAGGAGCCTCGGAGACATTTGCCAGTGAAGATGAAGGTAAATCTTCAGAATCATCATCATCATCCAAGCCTTCGAAAAGTTGACAAAAGTACTTACAAACTGTCGCTATCAACATGAAATTTATTTATATGGATGGGTTTATTTTCCAAAATGTCAAATTCATTATTTTGGAAGCAATGTCCAAACACATGACACTTTAAGTCATTTGGCAGAAATCCAATTCAATTTCAAAAGAAATCATTTGGGCACATATAAATATAATTCCTTAATTAATGTTCTAGCATAGCCTTATCACTTAGATCTTTTACACTGTTGCTATGTATGATAGAGCATGAACTGCAAAACATGAAAAATTAGGAAAAATGTGGGTAATGACTAACCCAACAGTTGCTGTGCAGCAGCATCCACATCTCCTCCTGCATTGGATAATGCTGACTCTATTTCTTCTGCTGAGGCAGTGGGCACAACATCAAGCAAAATATTACTTTGAACACTAGTTATGAAAAAAATACAATACACTGATATGATAGAAGAACCCCACACAATTAAGGGGTGTTTCATGGTGACTTTCATCCAGGGACCGTCTCACTCTAGTTCTGTTGCAATTCATATAATGTTGTCACACCTGTTTGGTTGCTTTTGCATTTGAATACAGCTTTGGTTAAACCAGGCAAGAACATAAAGCAAAGCTTGGAAATTCAGCATGTAACTGGAAATTCCACTTACTTAACATTATCCCCACTCTCTTTCCTTCGTTTCTTTATTTGTAACTGCAATATGCAATGTTAAACATTTTATATTATATACCAAAAATATTGAACTACCAACATACCAGAATAGTATCAACAAATGAAAGAAATTAACTCACTTCTTGATGGTTCTGGAGTGAAGAATCGCTCATAGGAACATGTGTATCCTTCTGAATTTTGCATCCATCGTAACAGAAAATTGCATGTTAATGTTGCATATAGTTTACAAATGTGATTAAGCATGGATCCTTGTTACATTTAATAAAAATGTTGGAATAACATGAACTCACTATAATAATCACCTCTTCATCCTTTTGTGATGATTCACCTCCAGGTATATAGTAGGTTATCTTTTCAGCTCTACACTCATTATCCGCCTCAGAAAGAAATGTGAATCAATTATCAACTATTCTACTGCCCAGTAGAGATTTAGTTTACACACAACTGAAACTGGGTTTCCTAGGACTATCCTGTGCATCCAGTTGCTTTATCTTTATAAATTAAGCAATGGCAAACTTGCATTCATATGTTTATGAATGTGGGATAATTATGCCCTCCAAACTCATTCAATATAACTTACTCTGTCATAGATTAACTCTTTAGATGCTCTAATATATATGGGCCCAGTTCCGGAAATATGTTTAAGTACTTTCCTGTGAGTTCTTGACCTTCTTGGAGCTTTATGGGTACAATCTCACTCCAATAGACCTCACAAATTCAAATCTAAATGTAGTACATGTATTAGCCATCTTGTACTTGTTTATTCTAAATTGCATTTTCAATAAAATGGTAATGCTGGCTATATCACAATATTTGGGTGTAGGAAAAAATGGAAAACTGTCCAACACACTTTCTGCCATGACTACTCTTCACACTTCTTCATTTGAGATGCATACAATAAACATAATACCATAAACCAATACTATTGACATATGTGGGCTTTATGCTTAGTCAGCATGCACACAACAAAACTGTTTTCATTGATTAAAAAATACAACTATTTAATACAGTCTGCTATGATAAACCAAACTGCACCAAAAATGCAATCTGCTAAAAACTATGTACCAGTAATCTTACCCTACTTCTTCTTCTTCTTGCCACAGGTGCTCCGAAAAAGCATGTCTTAATTCTTCTCGCAGTTGCACTTCTCCGAGATGCACATAGAAAGGCCATGCATCGACGAATAACCCTGCCCGAACGAGCTGGGCTTTCACTTTCCGTCTGGGTACGTCATCCCAAGTAGGAGTAGGCAAAAGGCAAACATCTTTTATGATGGGTGCTGAGACAGTGGCTTCTTTACCAAGGCTTTTTTTAGTGAAACGACCACTAGCCGCCCGCATTGTTTCCTTTCCCCTTTTACGGCTACTATTACTACTAGTTTTAGTGCTATAGTTGGTACTGGCCGAATATTGCGATGACAATGGCAGCTGGCTGTAGCTATTTGAACTCGAAGTCAAACTAGTACTTGTTGCTCTAGGAATTTGAAAGGCTTTATATATTTCCTCTTCTGTACTTCTGTTACTTGTTGAGTGAGAAGAGGTCTGCTCCACTTTAGCGTTGTTTGCATGATTGTTCAACTCTCCTATTACTGCTCTCACTATTCGATTAAGCTCATCGTCTTTATTGCTTTCCGCCATAACAATATACATGTGCTGTGCGGCCACATGTGAAGGGGAAAGGAGTTTGTATAGTCATATTTCCGGTTGAGTTTGTCGAACACTTCCGTTTCCTTTCGATATACGATTTTAAAATTTCCGTTTCCTTTCGATATACGATTTTAAAATTTCGATATACGATTTTAAAATTTCAATATACGATTTTAAAATTTCGATATACGATTTTAAAATTTCGATATACTATTTTGAAGTTTCAATATACGATTTTAAAATTTCAATAGTCAATTTTAGACAATACTGACATATAATTTTGTCCGCAACGGAACGCCATAACGAAGTAAACTGCAAAAAACAACAATTGCCTAATAGTAGCCCCAAGTTTTTTGCCCGGTTCCCGCGCCATCTTGGATTTATCATGGATGTCCATTGAGTTCTATAATAACCATTGAGTTCTATAATAACTGGAGCGGCTATCTTTACTGGGGCGAGGTCGCCAAAAAAATGGCGGCCAACGGACGTATTTCCGCTGAAATGATCGCTTTGCAGAAAAATAATATTCTCGACCTCCCCCTGGTGTCTATAGTAAATTATAAAGAATTTTTCAAAACAAACACGATATCACAGAATATGGATATCGTTAGTTCCATATTCTGTGACGATTCTTTTTGGCATTTCTTTATAATGCCAACACTTCAATCGTTCAATTGTTGGATGTCGTAGTTTCCACAAAAGGAACATATCGCTTCTCACAGGTGAGGTAGTTGTTTGTTTTGTTAGTCCGTCAACGATTGAAAAGCAATTATACATGCACTTGAAAAGCCATAAAATACATATTAAAGATCGTATTTTTAAGACTGACTTGAACGCCAAATATACTGATGTTTTCCTGTTTTGTCTATAAATTTCTGCATACTTTTCTGTCATTTGTTAATGCATGAAATCGTAAATTTACCTATCTATTTGCAAAATAGTTTCCTAAAGCAAAAAGACCCTGCACACATTTTGCTCTGTGAAAAGTATCAAAAAGAAATGATCAGCCCCAACAGTACCCATGATTTGGAGCAGAGCTTGTTATGTTCTATTTGCTGACAACATGCAGGGAAGACCAAGGAGTAAAGATGACTGGAAGATGTTATTGACCAGGCAGAGTCTTAAAAATGATAATGCTGTAAAGATAATTGATTTATTGTCTGCCTTATCCAGAGTTATTTAATTTGATCATGGTCAAATTCTATGGATGGAGACAATGGATTCACTAATGATGCCTTGAATGCTTTGAAGTTAAAGTTCATGAACCAAAAAGATGGCAAGAAGGTTGTGTGTTTTGATGCTTAATTAAATGTCAATTCACAACATATAAAATGGAAAGGCCATAAAGTTTGTGTCTATGTAAACATTTGTACTGAGATTGATGATGACTTGATGCAGATGTGAAGCATTAAACTGAATAAGCCATTGGGTTTTATATAACTTAATGTTTAAATCATGTCATATCTTTATCAAAATATTTTAGTTGAGTGTTGTTTAAATGTTACTAATATCTAATGCACTATACTGAAGCATTAAAGATTCAGTGATGAAACCTTTAAATTTACTGTACTGTATATTTCTTATATATTTCTTATATTTCTTTAAGAAACAGTTTGAGCTTATTTACCTATTAGAGTACAGAATGGGGATTTATCATATGCATCATTGCTGCTTTTTAAATAAATGTTTTCACTTTTCAAAGCTTTTCTACAAATATTTTGCTTCTTATTTCTTTTCATGAGATTGATGATATAGAGGTAATATAATCCAATAACTTTATAATTTCTAGAAAGCTTTTAAGCTTCTAGCATAAAAGTACACTATAGGTATTTAATTCATTTGGTTTTATTGCCTTGTTATGACATATCCATATGCATTTCATCATTCATGTATGAAGAAAACACCAAATGTGGATACTCAGAGAACAAAATGCACTACCAACTGCTTATGAAATTTATTATTGAAGTGAAAACTGTGTTAATCATTCAAATTGTGCACTTATATTGAAAATATAGGAAAAACAAAACAAAGTGAAAAGAAGGGTAGAAGTATTAAAACTAAAAATGAATTATAAACACCATTGGAAGCATAAGTGTTTTGATGATTATTTGCATTTTGCCCAATTTATATATCAATACAACAAAATCAAAATGTGCTACAACTTTACAAGTATTTGATGCAGTTGCACTTCAGAACATCACAAAAGGTTACTTAAAGTAATTTCTATACAATATTGTTTGTTTTCATTTACCAAACCTATGCAGACTTGAGTCTTTTTGAAATTTAATATGAAACTCAATTACAGAAAATACGTAAATATCCAGAGATTTAATATTTACTTTTTTAAAGAAACAAGTAAAAAGAAGCAAAATAGCAATGATAAAAATAACTTCTCTCTCGTGAACCACTGTGGAGATGAACTATGATATACTTTTTGTATAGACTAAAGAGTTTAATCGATCAAACAAGTTTGACGCTGGTAAGAAAACGACGCATATCTGCATTCATAGATGTGTAGCCGACATATAGCTCTTTCGTCGATAGTTATAAATACATCCTCGTAGGAGCCGATAACTGGAAAGCTATGTTGACTCGCTGTTACGAATTGTAGGTTTTTATCGTGATTTTCATCAAAAAATTGCTTGCCGAATCCCAAATACACACATACATTTTCTTCACTCTTTCCTCAGGAGGGAGTGGGAAATTGTGAAATTTTCGGAAAAGCGGTCAATTTCGGTAAATCTCAGCGGCAACGGACGAAATCCGCCATTTTTTTGGCGTCAGCAGATATCTAAGGCCGCGCTTGAGATAGCCGCTCCAGTTATTATAGAACTCAATGATAATAACTAGAGCGGCTATCTCAAGCGCGGCCTTAGATCAGTGAACTCGACATTTGAATAACTGGAATGATAACCGAAGCCAAAAATTGAAGCCAAAAAAATATTTGTCGTCATCATTCGTCATCACAGTCCCTCGCGTGTTCATTTTAATTTTTTTAAATCATTTGTCCCTTGGTAATGGTAGAGTTCGGATCTTGATCAGAGCGTAAAAATAACGAAATTTTTGGAATGAAAAGGTTCACGGAAAGTGAATCAAAGTGATAAATCGAGAAGCAGGGTGAGGTGAACTTAGTCGATCTGCTTTTACGCTGCGGTTTTCCTTTAAAACATATCAAAGTCTTTAAGGATATTCAATTACTGATGTCGAGATGACAACCATTTAGTATTTCAAGCACTATCAAAATCGATGAAAAATACAATCGCTCTGTTAAAAGTAAAATGCGAGTTATAGACTCAACATTTTTTATGAACCTGGATATTCAAGTTTCTTTTTTCTTCGGAAAAACAGATCTTTAAATCCATTGAAACGACAAAAAAGACAAACACTGTCTGACACCGTTTGAAAATTTACCTTCCGAAAGAAAAATTCATGCTTGAACATTTTCTCGTCATATTTTCTTATTATTTTTTAGCATAAAGTGTAATTTTCAGTTGGCTTTTCCTCGTAACAAATTGTAAGTTACAACGAACTCACTGTAGTAAAGTTTTAGCTGTAAAAATAACCTTTGCGAAGAGTTGGCCTAGTGTGTTGTTTGTCGTGATGTTGTTTATATGTTTATGCTTTTGCAGTTTGTATTCAAATTTATAGTGGCCGTGTATGTTTGGCACTCAGGGGAATGAAACTGACGTACAAACCGCGTGAATATTCGACTTTGAAGGACTGGAACTGACGTACAAACCGCGCAAGAGACTAGGACTTTGGCTTCAATTTTATATCTATAAAATGTATTGTAGTTATCATTCCAGATATATATATATATGGAGTTCACTGCCTTAGATATCTGATGACGCCAAAAAAATGGCGGATTTCGTCCTTTGCCGCTGAGATTTACCGAAATTGACCGCTTTTCCGAAAATTTCATAATTTCCCACTCCCTCCTGAGGAAAGAGTGAGGAAAATTTATGTTTGTATTTATGATTCGGCAAGCAATTTTTTGATGAAAATCAAGGTAAAAACCTTAAATTCATAACAGCGAGTCAACTGTGGCTGTCAGTTATCTGCTCCTACGAGGATGCATTTATAGAGCTATCGACGAAAGAGCTATATGTCGGCTACACATGTATGAATGCAGACGTGTGTCGTTTTTTTACAACCGTCAAACTTGTTTGATCGATTAAACTCTTTAGTCTGTACAAAAAAGTATATCATAGTTCATCTCCACGGTTCACGAGAGAGAAGTCAGCTTATTTGTTATCATTGCTATTTTGCTTCTTTTCATGCAATGGCTTTTTGTCACAATTGTAGGATTTTTACTTGTTTCTTTAAAAGAGTACATATTAAATCTCTGGATATTTACGAATTTTCTGTAATTGTGTTTCATATGAAATTTCAAAAAGACTCAAGTCTGCATAGGTTTGGTAAATGAAAACAAACAATATTGTATAGAAATTACTTTAAGTAACCTTTTTGTGATGTTCTGAAGTGCAACTGCATCAAATACTTGTAATGTTGTAGCACATTTTGATTTTGTTGTATTGATATATGAATTGGGCAAAATGCAAATAATCATCAAAACACTTATGCTTCCAATGGTGTTTATACTTCATTTGTAGTTTTAATACTTCTACCTTTCTTTTTCACTTTGTTTTGTTTTTCCTATATTTGCAATAAAAGTGCACTATAATTTGAATGATTAGCACAGTTTTCACATCAATAATAAATTTCATAAGCAGTTGGTAGTGCATTTTGTTCTCTGAGTATCCACATCTGGTGTTTTGTTCATACAAGAATGATGAAGTGCAAGTAGATATGTCATAGCAAGGCAATAAAACCAAATGAATTACATACCTATAGTGTACTTTTATGCTAGAAGCTTAAAAGCTTTTTAGAAATTAGAAAGTTATTGGATTATATTACCTCTATATCATCAATCTCATGACAAGAAATAAGAAGCAAAAAATTTGTAGAAAAGCTTTGAAAAGTGAAAAACTTTTCTTTAAAA